GCTCGGCCACGTTTCTCCTTTTAGAATGGAGGTATACTGATTGTAGGACTTTGGCTTAGTCTGGTATCTATCTTATCTGGGAGCCATACAAGTTGAACTCCCAAATTGGTATTACATAATATCTCAGATAGGTAGGGGTAATTCATCAGGCTGAACGTGTGGACTGCTCTACATGCTCACGATAAGATTATGGCGTATGGCCAGGATGAAGAACTTCAGAAGTCAGAACCCATTTGGGTGATTGAATTGTCCGAGAAGCATCATGGCCGCAACCACGAACGTTCGAACACAACCTCTTCGATCTTGTCCACAGCCCATATCCGCAGCGCCACGTTCAGTACTCCAAGACGCCCTGAGCGGAAGTCCCGAGGATACCCCTGAGCTCCAGGTGTAGATACTTCCCACCGTTCTGAGTCCCCTCGACACAATCACATGTGACCTCACACGGCAAGGCGGCTTCGCAAGCCCTTCGAAAGTACTTACGTCCGAAACTACCCACTGGCCTAACTGACAAACACTACACTACACCGCTTTATATATGTGTCTAGTCGCATACACAGGCCATCAACCCTTTGACGACTTCCTCACCTCCGCCACAGGCATCATGTCCGCAACCCCCTACCGCACGACCTTCGCCGGGCTCGAGTTCGCGCTCAGCGAAAAGACCATCACCATCGGCTCCTACCAATGGTCCACCTTCTCCACGATCGAGTTCCTCGCCGTGATGGGGACGTTGATCACGCTGCTGAACTATCATCTGAAGAAGCGGATGGAGAACAGGATGGAGGCCGTCACGAGGGAAGCGGTATCGGCGTTCTTGGCGGGCGATGTGAGGTTCGAGGGCCCGGAGCTGTCGTTGAGGGAGAGGGCTGAGATACATCGGAGGATAACGTATTATATCGCTGAGTAGCGGTCGGTTGGGCTTGGTGAGTCTATGAATGCCAATGGATACCCACGAGCTCGACTGATCATCATGGGCTTATTCTTCATTGATTTCCCGGTCTAGGTTAAGCTAAATCCATACGTCGATGGGAACATTAACCAATCCCCCTACGGGCGACGGCACAGAAGCTCACTCCCACCCAACCCGATCCTTCTCATATATCGCTCTGGCAGCCAACTTGGCCCTTCAACCAGCGCCTAATTCCTTTTTCTATCGCTATTATTTAGTCCCCCGAGGCGTTCATCACACTTTGCCCGATGTAACATCTCGTTCCCTTTGATACCCTCTCGATAAAGTTATCTCATTCACCAATTACCCTACTCTGTACTCTTGCCATGTCTTCACTTGTATCCATCTTGAAAAATGTAGAGTATTATGTAAACTGGCTTCTGGCGGGATGTTCCTCAATGAGCTTCACAGCCAACTGTCCACCCCGCCGACCCATGCTCGAGCATAGAACAACAAAAAATGCGACGCGGGTAGGATTCGAACCTACGCCCGGAAACCGGAACAGATGGATTAGAACTAATTCTAATCTGTCGCGTTAACCACTCCGCCACCGCGCCTGATAAGGTGAGAAGGGGTGCTGCAACCCCTCGGGCATCATTGATGCAAGCAAAGACCCAAGACTAGGTGTACAACTTTCTTCCATTACTTAATTTGCGGTAAATTAAAACACGCACACCCAACCATAAGAACACACTGTACCACTTGGCAAGTCGTTGCACCGATAGGACAAGGTTGCGGAACGATAGTATTTACAGTGCGGCGCTCCGGAGGTAGTTCCTGATCGCGCTACTGAGCCGCGATCGGGGACAATTTCAGCCACGCGCAAAAAAGTTCAAGAGCCACCGGATTCGCACTGGTCAGGATTCCGAAGGTGATTGACTTGCAGACGAATAGACTTTTCGGGGGGAATAAAATGGCGTCCCCATCACCCACACGCAAAACAGCTGGAGATCTCTTTGATACACGGCGACGATCTGGAGGTACAAGTAGAGAAAACAGCGTGTGGGCATAGATATTTGGGGCAGAGTTGGGTTCGAGGCGGGCTAATCAGATACAGTAGTAGCAGAGTCGGTGCGGAAGTCGGATGACCGGAAAGTATAGAAGACCGAGAAGACAAGTCGAGTTCAGGAGCGAGAGAAAGAGGCCGGCGAGTCCGAGCTGGTGCATGCGGTACTGTTGGTCAATCATGGGACTCGAGGAGAGAAAGTGACGAGAAGTGCACACCGTGATTCGTCGTTATCGTGGTTATTGTCGTAACCATCTTTGGAAGAACGTTTATCCCTTCTCTTGAAATGGATAATGGCCTTGAACCTCTGAGGACGCTCGCAGTTCTTCCCGTCGGCAAGATCGACCTCGCCGAGATCGGGGATGGTGTCGCTGTTTGTGGGTCTCCGCGGCTTTATGTCTGCCGAGGAGAAGGAGGAATACGAGGTCCAGGAGAGGCGAGAAGGAGGGGAAGGGACGTCGAAGGTGTCCAGATCGACCGCATGAGACTGCTGAGAGTCGAAGGTGCGGCGATAGGCGGATGATGGACGAGGGGGCCGATGAGCAGTGGCAGTGTCTCTTTCCTTGGCGAGTGAATAGGAGGACATGGTGTCGTCGCTGGGCTAGGTCATTCCCCTATCACAGGTCGAAATGAAGACAAGGTGGGGCAAAACGACCCAAATTCAGACGGAGCACATGAGTCTGCGCAGCCAACTGATGGGACAATCCACATACCGAACGGACAGAATCTCGAGGGAGGTTCGTGCAAACTCTGAATTGACGGGGAGGCAGAGCTTTATAAGATTTGATGGGACGTCGGACCAAAGAGGCTCCAACTCCGGGGGGTGGACGCACGGGACGTGAAGGTTGGGGCATGGAGCGGGAGTGGCTCCGCCCACCACTGCTTCATACGCCCGATCTTCGCGAAGAGACAGTCAAAACAGAGGGAGAAGAGGACCCTCAGAGTGCACGAGTCTGTCGGTACCTGGAGGTTCGCGAGGCCCTTGTACATCGACCTAACGCCCATTAGTACGTAGCAAACCTGACGACCGCATGGTTCGCGGGCAACAATCATGGACCAAGACGAACAAGTGTCCGGTGGTATCCGCCACGTCAAAAGCGGTGGTCGGTAGTGGTTGCAAAGTGACAAACGGAGCAGTGGGAAAGTGGACGAGTTGGGAATGTTGTGTTGTGTCGACCGGGTTCGTCCGATCCGAGCGTATTTGCGTTGAGAGCAGCGTTGGGAACTCACCGACGGGGGCCAGTGAATTTGCGTCTGGGGACCATGCGCTTTATCAGACACCGACAGCCCCCTCAGATCATATAATCAGCCTTCTTACTTTCTTTCCTTAACGTCAACCACCATGGCGCACCCATACGCCAATGCCTCCCTCCATCACCACCACCATCGCACCCAGCCCTCAACTCCTTCCTCCTCCGTGTCCCAGCTATCCATTGTCAGCTCTTTCTCTCAATCCGCTCACTCCTTCGGCGCTCGTTCAGCTTTGGATGGCAGTGCAGTAGTTCCTGCAGGCTCCAACACCGTCCCTATCCCACCCACCGAGAATCCCGTCAAGCTCGATCCTTCAACAAGCACGACTGGCCCCGAACGACGCAGGAGAAGGTCGTTGAGGGCACCCTCCAAGGCATCCTCAAGGAAGAAATCCGTCGAATCCTCAGCCACTGTTTCCTCCAAGGCCGACGAGAAAGAACCACACGTGCCCACAAGGCACTATCAATTCAAGGCTTTCGAGAGCTTCGACAACTCAACTCCTTCTGTCGCTTTTGCGGGGGGAGTGCCGTCTGGTGCTGACTATACATTTGGGCCCCCTCCATCTGCTACTTGTCCCGTCCCCGGCCTTCAAGATTCTGGACCCTCTAGTGCTGCACATGCAAAGAAGAGTAAGGTGCTTCTCACTGTGGGGAAACGGGTCGTAAAGGAAGTCCTAGGCGGAGGTGAGTCAAAAAAGCATCCTGCTCCCCATTTGACCATCCTTGCTGAAAAGCCTACCTCCCTCTCTGCAGGTGGAAATAATGCACAACCACCAGAGGCAAAGGTTGTGGTAAGTTTCCTCCGCTTTTCTCTGTGAATTTTCCCCGTACTTGTCCGCTGACTCCTTGATAACCCAGTATTACGGGCGTGGAGGTGCTGGAGGTGCTGGCGTCCGCGCAACCAAATCGTTTTCATCCTCTGCACCCTCCTCTTCACCTGACGCACAAGCTCTACACAGTCAGTCCGGATCCGCTGTTCCGAAACATTCCACCGAGTCCCACCGTTCGAGTTCATACTACACAGGGTCCAGCCAATACACTCCTTCAATCCTCAGTTCACCCTACGCCGAATCCATCGCCAGCTCTCCCTATGCGACCTCTGTTGACGACGGCTCACAGTACGGGCCCTCGAGTTACAGTGCTCCCCGTGCTTCATCATCCTTGCGACCTTCATCCCACCCGTCCCCCTCCCATCGCTCCGTTTCACCCGTTGGTTTCTCCGAATCCCGCAGAGCTTCGGTCGTTTCCTCGTTTCCCGGCACACACGCTACCTCCGATTACGAAGACTTTGGTGAAGACGTAGCACAATACGCTCAGCCATACAATAACTGGCCGCAAGGGTACCAGGAAGGGAGTTCGGGGTACCATACCCCCTCCCTAGTCGAAGATGCAATGTCTCGAGCCGACGTTAGTGAAGAGAGCGGATACCAGCAGTACGGGGGCGAAAATTTCGCGATGCAAGAGGTCCAAGGGCAGCGGACCGATCTTCTCGACGTCCCGAGCCACTCACTGCGCCACATCGCATCCCAGCACTCAGTCTCGACCTTTAGGGAACAGTCCATTGTGCCACGGGTAGATCACACGACGGCCTATCCCGTTTCATCCATCAATCCGACCGACAACGCTTCCTCTTATCTCCAACCTATGGCGGACCCAATGGGTAATAATAGCGATCCGAACATCGGTCCAGTGTCCTCCGAGCAGGCACAATCAGCCCTAGCGGCGCTTTTAGGCTACAAGGGCAGTTCAACCAACGTTGACTTCAGTACTGTTCGCGGTGTCGCCTCACCCCCTGCGGACAGTCCGCCAAGCCAGGACGAGTTCGCATCGCCTTCTCTCAACGGTGTCAACCGCCCGCTCCCACAGGAGCCTCCGCAACCCACACGACCACCTCTCCCGAATTCAACAATTGGAGGCCTCGTTCCCCGTCAAACGCCTATTCAATCTCAACCTCCCCATCTTCCCACAAGCAGTGCACCCCCACAGGGTCCATGGGCCCAACCCACCATCGCCGCTGGTCGGACGTCCGCGTTGACACGCTCATTACCAGATCCATTGGCTGTCGCCGTGGGTCAGCTGTCGCTCATTCAGAATCCACTTCATTTGGGGTGGCCGGCTCCACCGTCTCCTCAACAATATAACAGTCCGCCACGCCAACAGCTCCCTTATCACCAGTTACCCAACAATTCTGCGTTACCCCAGTTCTCTGCTGGTCAGTTGTTGAATTTCCCCGTCACCGCGCCTGCAGCATCGTCTTCACTTGGCATGGGAACGTCCAGTTATTCGACCCAGTCTAGCGTTCCGTCTGCGCTATCTGGCGCTGTTCCGCTCTTACCGTCTGAAAAGATCACGTATGAGCAGGCTCTGGCGGAGCAGCAGATGTTGGCGCGTCGGCTTGCGCAGTTGGAAGGTCTCCAACAACAGCAACAGCAGCGGCAACAGCAGTTTCACCAGCATGTCGATGCTAATCTTCCCTCTGCAAACGACTTTAATGGTTCACAATTTAGGTAGCACTACTCATTTTCTTGTTTTGTCATCCCCCCACTTTGATCTTGTGCGTTACTGTGTGTTGTCACTCCCCACGATCTTGCGAAATTTGGTCTTTCGTTCTCTCTTTTTTTGGTATATCCGTTGAAACCTGTTATCGTCGTCGATCTCTTGCGCTTTTTTCGCCCTAAGTGATTTGGTGTTGCTGGGGAAACGCTGTACCTTAGATTGTCCTGCTGTCTGTCTTTTTATGCTGCACTTACTCCTGTCGATCGTGGCTGGAGTCCTGGTCACAACATACACGCTTTACCCTGTGAAGAATGCAGGCCTCGACTTTACC